AGTTCTTCAATATTTCCTCTACTAATCAACCTATATTTTCTATAACCCATTGCATTTCTTCCCCATTAAACTAAACATTCCTCCCCTCCATCCAATTCTCCTTTTCTAGTCATCAATTTTAGAGCCAACACTCCATAACTGTACAAGGATGTTCTAATTTCCAGCATAAGTTTCGTCGTCATATGGACTTATTGGTGCTTTGAGATTGGTTTTTTTATCATTTGCCGAAGCCACATGGTAGCTCGTTCAAACTTCTAAGGGCATTTGTCTCTGGTAATTCCATTTATCTTGTGTTTGACTACGTTTAGGGCATAAATCTTGTCGATTGTCTTCAAAATCATTTTAATCTTGGCTTCACTAATCTCTTAACTTGGCTTTTTTGGATGTAAATTGCTACTAATCTTACCGATAAGCTTGATTACATCAACCATTTCTTCGACCTCACCTACCTAACATCCATATTGTTTCGCTTTTAGTCATGAAACCTTATGTCTATTAGTTGAGTCAATATATAGCACAATCAAATCAAAGGGTCACGAAACTTAACCTAACCCTACCATTTTAACCCTCATAAGTTGTTATCATTATGTGGTATCAAGATCAAGCAACTCATCTTGAGAGGTGATCTACACTTGTGGCATGGGGGCTTTGATGGAGCAACTACATAGCAGCAACTTTGTGAATGGCATTGTTGTTGGATTCAAACTAGATTGGGTTAGCAATGAAGGTGGAAGAGGAAAAGTTGATGAAGGTGGAGGGAGAAGTCAATAACAGTGTCAAAGAGAAGCTATGGCTATCATCAATGAAGGTAAAGGGAGAAGACGACGGTCGTAAAAAGATAAAGAAGAAGACAAGCGTCCCCATGTGCTTACTAGCAAACCCAAAATAATAAGCTAATCCCAATGAGTCATGTGTTCTATTTTATTCAACCTTTGATTTTAACAATCAACTTTACCTAGATTTAACGATGGGGCAAGATTGCTCCATTTTTTACTTTTTTGGGGCAACATTGCTTCTTCTAAAATGTCAGGATACCCATTGCTCTTTTGAGAAATCTTTTAGGGTATTTTTACCCCTTAACCCTATTATTTTTATTGTCTTATTTGTTCAATGAGGGGCTGTCCCATTACGTAATAAGGGACTTAAACCTATTCTAGCTTAACTTGTTCAATGAGAAAACTAATTCAGGGAGAATGACACATCATAGTTGAGATTGGGAGAAATCGTGATCCATAAGTGAGTTAAACAACTTTGGTCGAGTAGCTTTTCATGCATGATTGGCTAGGGTAGTCTCATTATATAGACGATCCTTATATGTAAGAGCCTACGATTTCATGTCAAAGGCATAAGGAGAATTTAAGGGAGGTGTGATTATGCATATTGTGAAAATAGGCACATGATTATTTGTATTGCGTCCCTTGTTTTGTAAGCATGTGATAATACGTGTTTAATATCATAAATTGTGAAACTGATATTGCCATTTGTGAAAATGAATATCATGAATATAAGAAAATGATATTGTAACTTATAAAAATGGAATTTTAAACGTGCATGACATGAGTGGAATGATAGATTGCTTCTTGCATTTAAATTAATTGACATGCATTCGTATTGCTACGCTCGTCCCATAACACAGTTGCCCATTCGTTGTAATGGAAAATGGGAAGGGAGCTATAATGTTATCCCTCACATTACCAAACATGAATCATCGTTATAGTAACTGAGACTTCATTAATCCCATGATTAGTTATCATAACCTAAGGGTTAAAAATATTTAAGAAAATGGGATACTAAGAAAAACCCCTAAAGAAATTATTTAAGCTCAAACTATAGTTTAAAACAAATTAAATAAGCCAATAGAAGCATAAAAAATTTATTAGGCTACAGTATATAAAATAAAATATTCTAGTCATAAAAGCACAATGCACCGCGAGAGACTGCACAGAGGGAAATGCCCTTTCTCTGTGCCTCATCGTGCCGAGGCACGTGACCACTGTTATAACAGCAAACTGCTATCATGATAGCTCTTCGAGCCAACTTTTAGAGCATGCTATTTCACTGTCCGACTTTCAATTCGAGCTATTTAAGCATCCACACATAGCTCTTAGAGCCACCTAACTATTGGCACTAGTATCACACCCAAATATTGAGTCAAGTGAAATTTGGACACTCAAACCTAAAATGGCTCATTTTCTTTCAAAAACACAACCAAGGTGCCCAAACCCCTAAACCAAGTGCTAATAATTGTGGAACTACTTGAATCAATTCAAATGGATCACAAACAACCTATTCAAGCATTGGCTACCCAAAACCCCAATTTTCAACATAATTTCACAAAGGGGTAATAAGTTCTCATCAACACTCTAATGGCCAATCAAACACATAAATTAATACAAAACTAATACTTGTACTAATATCTCAATTTCTCACAGCCATTCCAACATAGATATACTAAACCTAAGTTGAGATACCCATAGCCACAATAAAAATCATGCAAATGCATCACAAAATTATATAAATATATCCTAAGTTGGCATATGCATATAATATTCATTACAAACTAAAGTTTTAATGAAAGGACTATACAACTGAGAGTTAGTCTCCTCGATGTTAGGTTGCACCTTCCTTTCCCTTGCCCCTATTGGAGCCTTCATCTGTAAAATGTAACCATAAGATGAGTCGAGGACTCAACATTCTAAACTCTAAACAATTAAAGTTGGGGTAATTTCACCCCTATCATTAACTCTCGATAAACGTCTGTCAAATTAGAACCTAAAGTGTAATTTTTTCTAGATGAATTTGGCAGACGTTTGTTGAAAGTTAATGGTGGGAATGAAATTGCCCTAACTTTAATTATCTAGAGTTCAGAATGCGTCTTTTTAAAGTTTAGGGTTTAAATTGTCCTTGGATCTATATTTCAGGGTCTAAATTGCATATTAATTTAAATAAAAATTACCTTAGATGCTATACTTTACAAAATATTCACTTAACTATTACAAATCTAAAAACTGACATATATTAAGTCGAGTTCACAAAAAAATCTGACACACAACTTGGTTTGTATCAAGCCAAATTGTGTATGACATGCATTGGCACTCTAATACTTCATCCACTTTCCCCTAATACTTCATCTCTCTTCTAGCCAATCATTTTCCTGGCAAAAAAAGAAGAAGTCCTCTTTCATTTTAATATGATGTAATATATATGTATGTTATATATATATATATATATTCTATGAATAAATATAAGAAATAATATAGAACAATATGAAATAAATATACCATGAAATATATCTTTTATCTTAACTAATTTTTTGGAATATATCTTAAAGATATATATAATAATATATAATATATCTTAGAAATAATTTATCTGACATATTAATTATATATCATGACCAAATTCCCTCTGAAACTATTAAAAATTATTAAATATATAAACCATGTATCATATAAAAATTATTAAAATATAATATTAAAACTTATTTTTAATTATTATTTTTATTTAATAATAAAAAAATTAATTTTCAGGTTCTTATAATTTTCATCAATTTTGAATTAAGTTTTTGTGGTTTTTTAATGAAGTATTTAAATTTTAATCAATTAGATATATTAATTTTTAAGGATTAAAATCCTTCAATTTTTTCCTTTAAAAAAATAAAATTATGGACTTCTATATTTTTATTAAAATATTATATAACTTTAGAATTAACTACACAATTTTTATAACTCAAAATTTATATAATTATATTATTTTTTAAATAATTTTTTGTATAAAAAAATTATAAAAATTAATAAAAATTTTAACATTGTATAAAATCAAATTTTTTTTGCTTTTTCGACTAAATGTATTAATTAAATTTTTTATAAATTTTAAAAGTGTTTTTGTTAAAAAAATTAATTATTTATTAATAAATTAATCAAAAATATTTTATTAAAATAAAATAAATTACAAGAATCAAATTTAAAATCAATAAAAATTAAAAGGGTTTGCATATTAATTTTTTCTAATAATAATAATAATAATAATAATAATAATAATAAATGAGTATATAATATATATATTTAATAAAAAATAATATATATATATATTATATTTTATTATTTAAAAATATAAATACTAATAAGTGTATGGATATTAATTTGTTATACACACACATTTATTTATAATATATATACATATATTCTTATATATTATTATGGAAGGGGATTAGCAGACTGAGAAATGAGGAAAGCAAGGAGGGATTATTTTCTAAAGAAAAGAAAAGGTGGGAGTGGAACAATAAGATAAGTAGGTGACAGGTTATATTTATTTTTTTTTAAAAAATCATCTAACAAACAATTAGGCTTCATATATACCAAGTTGTGTGTCAGAATATTTTGAAAAATTGGTTTGGTTGATGTCAATTTTTGGATTGGTAGTATTTGGATAAATATTTTGTAAAGTGTAGTATTTGAGTAATTTTTATTCTTTGTTGTAGCATCTAGATAAATTTGCCAAGTTTTAGCATAACTTTTTCTTATCAGATGTTTGAATTAAGTGTTGCAATTTTCGATACTTGTAAAAGGGGGAAAAAAACTGTATTCGAGATTGTTTAGCTCGAAGGTAAGTGTGACTAATTAAATGCGAAGTCATCAAACAAGGCAATGAATCAGATTCACCCGTGGTTTAAACAAGGGTCCAGTGTCCGGCGCGAGCCGTAAACATGAAAAGAACGAACATTGATGCGTTTATAATAAGCACGTCTAATTTGTCACCCTGACTTTAGACCGATGCCCATTTTTGTTTTGCATTGTGCCCAAATAATCGTCGTGGTGCGACCCCACAGAGAATGTGATTGAATGATAGAGTGCTCCATTTTCAAATGATTATCAGGTTTCATAATGTTCCTATCATTTAGATTATTAGAAATCAATCAACGGGCTACCTGATCATCAATTATAAAAGAGCGAAAGCAGATCAAAAAGGCATGGCTTTGGGCTGGCTACCTGGAAGCCATCATCATTGCACTGGAGAAAAAGAAATGCTACAGCGGGCAAGAAAAGACAAAAAAGAAGAACAATAAAATAAAGATAAAGTGAGATGCGAAGTGCTCAACAAAGCATACAAAAAACCCCGGCATTGGCGGCTCCAATCAGTAGTACTGGAGTAGTAATCTCCCATTCAATATATACAGAGGGTATCAGCGAGCTCGCCTGGTCATTGCCCAGCCTTCGAATTCACTATCCTCTTTCTCCCTTCTCCTTTACCTTGCCTAGATCCAGGTTAGCTTCTTGCTATCTCCTCTGTCTTTTATCTCTTCGAACTCGTCTATGGAAGTCAGCTCCATAGGCTTGATTTTGGTGATAGCTTTGTGCACTTTGGTTGGTTGCTCAGTTTAAAGTTCGAAAAGAGGAATCTTTATTTTCCATTTCATTGTATTTGGTTTGCTGATGTCTTGTTTTCAGCTCTGAAAGTTATGACTAAATAAGTCTTTTTCATCTGGGAAGTCTACCAGACCTTCTTAAGAGCAGGGGCTTCTGCTTATTATTTATTATCCGTGAGGAATTCTACCACGTACTAGCTTTCATGGTTAGGCTTGGTCCTTTGGTTCGTCTGCCTTCTTCTCTCGGCGAACACATATGCACTGTTCTCAGTGAAAAACTGGCCATGCATGTATTATCTCTGTAGGATTTCATTGATGCTGTTTCGCTAGTAGCTTTATGCTTCTAACTATCGTGGCTCTACAGCTGTTCTTTTTCATCCCCCCATGTTTACATTTCGGGTTTTGTTTAAAGGTCTCATTGTGTGTGTGATTTTGTCCGTTGGCTTTGCCATGGTACCAAGTTTTTCCTCTGTGAGCAGGAGTGAGGACATTAACACGCTTGAGTAGTTAATAGGTTTATACATTCAGGGGGTTTTACTTTTCTCAAAATTAAATCCGGTTCTAGAAATCCGAAGGAATGTTCTACCCTATGGACTAGATTTCGATTTATTTACCTTAAATAGGTAAACTTATTTTGCAAGCTTGACTTTAAAAAGTCTTAGGTTTTTCCCAATTTTCTCATTAGAATTAGTCCCTTCTTCAGTCTATGGGCACTTTGATATCAAGTTTTTTTTTTTTTTAATTTGTGTTACTTAATAATGAGACTTAATGAAATTCTTGAATTGGCATTGATCTTTTGGAAATTTTATTCCCTGAACAGGCTGCCAATGCAACGAGTTCTCTTAGAGCTTGTTGTTGTAAAAATGAGACTTATAAGGTTGTAATTTGACAAGACAGCTGGATCAACAGGATGACAAGAAATATCCTGCTACTTGCACAATGATATCTGAGATTTGGTGTATGGAAAAATGAATATAATGGAAGAAATACAGTCTCAATCAGATAATTATAGGTCATCGTCATCATCAGCAAGCAGCCCAGCAAGCAGGGTGCCATCAAGTAACTTCTTTTACCTGCGTAAACCTGGTTCACTTAGACAACCTATTTCATTTGAGGATTCACCAGAGTGGGAAGATACTGATATCGGTGTTAGAGTTGAGGAAGGAGGTGACTCTATTAATGTTGCAACGACGCCAGCTTCTCCATCCCTTTCAAAGCTCAACAGTGGATCCTTGCCGTCCCCGCATCTACCAGATGGTGCAATTATTCCCAGAAAAATTGCCGGGGCTTCTGTTGTGTGGAAGGACTTGACTGTTATGATAAAGGGAAAACGGAAATACTCTGATAAGGTTGTCAAGAGTTCAACTGGTTATGCATTACCTGGAACAATGACAGTAATTATGGGTCCTGCAAAGTCCGGAAAGTCTACATTATTACGAGCTATTGCAGGTTTTGAAGCATGCTTACTTTGTCCTTCCTTAATAAACTTTCCATCTTGTTCATTGCTTATATACTTGAATGGTTAAAGCTAAAATGACTTTCTTTTTATATTAGGAAGATTGCATTCCTCAGCTAGGATTTATGGTGAGGTGTTTGTGAATGGAGCAAAATCACACATGCCTTATGGGTCGTATGTAAGTTCAGCATCTCACTTTGTTGAGTCTTCGATTTTTTTTCCCCATTGCATTGATGTTGTTCAATGATCAATCATAGTCTAATTATTCGTCATACTCATATATCATACTTTTATATGCTACATATATTCTAAGGTCAGAATCTTAATTGAAAAGTGGTGTGTTAGTTTCAATGTGTCCTTGCAACATTTTAGTTTTGGAATTAAGCATTTTTTATTCCTGTTTCTTATGTTATTATGCATTTTCCGTACCAACTGATCTGGCACATAGGAAAATTAATATAATGACCTCTCATCAAAGTAATTATGGTTTTATATACTCTTGTATTAACTTCTTGGCTGTTACCAAGGCTTTGCCTTACCTTGTACATATGTTTCTCTGGTTTGAATAAATATTCCCTTACTTCACCAAAAAAAAAAAAAAAATCCTGGCTATGATTAATTGGAACTTGGTTAACAATTACTTTTATCACATTTTCCTCATATGAGCCTATAGTCATTCCAAGAAATTTCTTCTGCTCTTGATTGTTTGTTTTAATTTTGCTTTTAATTTTTGCAGGGGTTTGTGGAGAGAGAGAATGTTCTGATTGGATCCCTCACTGTAAGGGAGTTTCTGTACTATTCAGCCCTACTTGAACTTCCTGGTTTCTTTTGTCAGAAAAAGAGTGTGGTAGAGGATGCCATCCATGCAATGTCTTTAGGTGACTATGCAAATAAACTTATTGGGGGACATTGCTATATGAAGGGTCTTCCTAATGGTGAGAGAAGACGTGTTAGCATTGCTAGGGAGCTTGTTATGAGACCACATGTCTTATTTATAGATGAGCCTCTTTATCATCTGGACAGGTGTTTATTTTAATTCTCTTGAGCTCTCTATTGCACTGATTTTCCCTGATCTATATTTGATGTGACACTTTTGAAAAATTCTAAAATTAGTTGCATCTATTCACTCTTACAACAATTCATAATTTGTAATTTCATTAGTAGTTTTGCAAGTATTAGTTGACATGCATTACTCTATAGGGGTTATGAAATGGCATTCCACAGTCTACATCTCTGGTATGCTCTATCTGGAAACTGTTTAAGTGACATGTTATTTCATCTATCCTAGTAGTTTTTCATGTGTTTCATGCAGCTCAAAATAATCCATGTTTGCTAGGGCCTAGGCCATAAAGTATGGAACCTTCTTGTAAATTACAGCTTCATTTTTTCACCCAAAAAAAAAAATTACAGCTTCATTTATTCCCCAACTTTTCGTATACATTGCATTCATGTTACATCTTTCAGGGACCTAACAACAGGAACTGCTTGGTCTATTTTCTGAGCATTGCGTCATAGTTATTCACGCACATGCCTTGTGGCTTATTTATTTGAGTGGTCCCCTTGTATTAACACAGGGTTTAAGATGAGTGGTATTGTTGTTCATAACTTATGAACGATGGGGCTCCGTACACTTTTTATATTTTGTATTGATATTGGTAATATTGATGATTCTTGTTATTTAATCAAATTCCTTCAGTGTCTCTGCGCTTTTGATGATGGTTACATTGAAGAAGCTTGCAAGCACTGGTTGCACTCTTATTTTCACCATTTATCAGAGTAGCACAGAAGTCTTTGGCCTTTTTGACCGAATTTGTCTGCTTTCAAATGGAAATACTCTTTTCTTTGGAGAAACATTAGCCTGCTTACAGGTAAACAGTACCATCTAGCTGATTGGATCTTCCACATGAAACTTGATTGAGAAACTAGTAAGAAATTACCAAATAAAATAAAAGGACTGAGGAGGCAGACATTGATTTTTATGCTTGATAGGGGTGCTATTTAGTAGTGTGAAGAAATGACATTGGAAGATGAATGTGCTGCTAGATTCATAATATCCTTTTCTTTCACCTCTTTGCTTTTAAATGGAATATTTATTTTATTCCTGACTGTTATAACTGTGTTAACGAAGCACTTCTCAAATGCTGGATTTCCCTGCCCAATCATGCAAAGTCCATCAGATCACTTTCTGCGCGCAATTAATACAGATTTCGACAGGATAATTGCAATGTGTAAAAACTGGCAGGTACTTGTTCCCGGTACACAATTCTCTCAGAATTTTCCTAATTTTTAGTCTGGTTGGTGTTACACCAGGTTAATAATATAAGAATTTTTGCACGCTAAACATAAATAGATATGCAACCTATATTTATACTTGAAATTATGTCGTGACTAGGGGAACCATTGCCAGATGATTAATCTGGTCAATGCTTCATTCTTCTCTTGTTGGTTAACCAGATTCAATGTTTATTTGATACCATATTAACTTTTGTCAATTGTCATCATAGCAGGATGAATTTTCCTCGGTGAACATGGACACTGCTGTTGCTATACGCACACTTGAAGCAACTTATAAAACATCTGCAGATGCTGCTGCTGTTGAAACTATGATTCTGAAACTCACTGAGAAAGTAAAGTTGCTAACATTTCGTTGAATATTGATTGAATTAATTTCCTATTCTTCTGGTGATTTAGCTTGGTAAAACTTATGGCTTAGCCTTCATTTATCAATACATATAGGTATTTGGTAATGATGCATTGGTGCTTGTTTTATCTTGATGCGGTCAAGTACATGCTCTACAGAAATATAGGGCTCGGAATGGGGCTTCATTTTAAACCATGTCATAAACTTGGCTAATAAGAGGGGTTATGTTTTTGTAAGTTGTCATATGCAGCAGTCTTTTTGCACCAACAGATTAGATAGCGTTCTCAATATTTGATGGTTGCAGATTGTTCCTACATGGCTTTTCTTTTATACTAATTTATTTAAGTGAAAAGTCAATAATTTAATTATTAGTATAATTTTTAAGTGGAGGTGCCTAGTTAGGAGGCTATGCCTTTAATCCAATCAAAGATACTTCTAGCATGTCAACAAGTGTCCCAATTGGTTCAGAGGAGTATCCCCAGTTCTCCTTACTGAGAATAGGTGCTTCCACATAGTAGAATGGAAATTTTCCTTTTCTAAATTTGCTGCGTTAATTATGATTTCCTCCTTATAAGCTCATCATAATTAATAATGAGTTCTTCTGGCAAAAATGAGGCAACTACTTCGTTTTGATGCATATACTAATTATGAGAAAACGATCAGATAGACAAGTAACACACCCTCTAGTCTTGATGTTTGTGTGACTGCATTTAATGGGAGCTACTGTTAGAATTTCCTTTTACATGTTTTTGAAAAGATGCTTATTTCCCAGGAAGGTCCAGGTCTCAAAAGCAAGGGTAAAGCTAGCATAGCTACCCGAATAGCAGTTTTGACGTGGAGGTCTTTATTAATTATGTCAAGGGAGTGGAAATATTACTGGCTTCGCCTTATTCTTTACATGCTTCTCACGCTCTGTATTGGCACTGTATTCTCTGGTTTGGGGCATTCTCTGTCGTCAGTTGTGGTGAGTCTCAGTGATGTAATTACATTTTATCTTTCATTTGCTGCTTTTGTTATGTTTTGCACATATTAGGCTGCACGTCTTTAATTTTTTGCATTGCAGACAAGAGTTGCAGCAATTTTTGTATTTGTATCATTCTGCTCACTTTTAAGCATTGCTGGGTTGCCTGCACTGAAGAGAGAAATTAAGGTAATCTTATTGCTACTTGCCTACAACGATTACCTTACAACAATTTGAAAGTTTTAGTTTGGTGTCATGTATTATGCATAAACGAAAGCATAATTTGTACATATGGGATGTACTTAGAAATTGTTCAGCATATGCCCCCCTTGTTTGATGCCATGTTATATGCAGACAATAATCACGCACTTTTAATACATGAATTATATGGAGCTTGCTCAATTGAAATTTAGAAGACTAGAAGCCTTACAATTCTCAAATGCATACTTTTGTTCTTTTCTCCAGGAAAGAATTGCTGGGCTGAGAATCCCTTATTACAATTTATGGCTTACAATTTAGTTTTAAGCTGTACTGCTGATTTCATGAAAAGCTTGACTTTTGGCTATGGATCCTGACTCTGTATGCAAAGCTTAATATTCACACTATCTTATCATGATCACTTGCTTAAGAACTGCAAGTTTTGTGAAATACTATGATATAGAAAATAGAAAAGAGAGAGAGAAGAGTAGAGAGGAATTGAGAGAAAAGAAATGGGGGGGGGGGAACGAGATAACCACACCGAGACAGAGAAAAGAAATAGGTTCTGATCAAGTAATCTCCATGAACATCCATAGACCATATTACAAGGGGGAATGTCCTAGTATTTATGGGAGTCTAGGAGATGCTGGGTAAACAATTAAAAGCCATAAAAGACATTATTACCCTCAACAATAATCACTACCTGAAAAACATGCCATTTTCATATCAATACCCCCTTCCAAGAGACCCTTGTCCTCAAGGGTCAAGAACAGCAAAATCACAAGGTGCAAATTCAAAATCAGATAGAAGAACTTATGCTTTGGAAGTCTGAAAAACCCTCGGGAAATGTAAAATGATGATTGATTTTCTGAGTCCTTTGACTTGATCATTCACTGAAAATAACGTTAGCCCAAGCTTTCAGTTTCGTCCTTTTCCTTCTTTCTTGTTTCAAAAAGCTGGTACCATTCTTGTGCCATAAGACCTGTGCCCTTGACCTTTTTTGACACATTACAGCTGCAACACAGAACCCATTGACAGCCTCATATCTGCAGTACGTTTTTTCAGTATCTGATGCATTGCCATACCTGAATAATACCCAGCCATGTGAAACCAAAGGAAAAATATTTTTGTTCTTAAGTTGTCTTACCATGCCACATAACCCTAGTACCTGGCGTCATTGAGACGCAACTATACCCATATCTCTTGACTTGTGAGACCTCATGAGTATGAGAACTAGCAATGAAAGAGTCTTGGCCAACAGAATCTTGCACTAAATCCTCTACATTAGTGCTACAGGTAGTGTTGAGATTACCATTTGCTGCTATGGATTCTTGGCCCTTCTTGAAATCACCACCATGCTCTTCTTGGGAGGAGACTAGACAAGACTCACTATCTTTTGGAGCAGCAGATAGTTCTTGCTCATCAATGAACTCATTTGGGCATGGTGGGATGGGAACTAAACCAAACCTATCTTCTTCAACAGAAGTAACTGGGGCATCATCCAAGAATGATTCTTGCCGCAACAATTTTCTTAACTCTGCCGCATCTTCCCTTGTAGATCTCAACTTTTTAAGCTCTACTGCTACATTTTTAAGCTCCATTATTATATGAAAAAGTTATTTCATCTCGATGCCGAGGATAACCAGGCTCTGATACCATTGATATAGAACATAGAAAATAAAGTAGAAGAGAGAGAGAAGAGTAGAGAGGAATTAGAGAAAAGAAATAGGGGGGGAGAGAGAACGATATAACCAGAGAGGGAAAAGAAATCAATTCTGATAAACTAATCTCCATTAACATCCACAGACCATATTACAAGAGGGAATGTCCTAGTATTTATAGGACTCTAGGAAATGCTGGGTAAACAATTAAAAGCCGTAAAAGACATTATTACCCTTAACAACAAATAACTACCTAAAGGACATGCTATTTATTATTTTTCATATCAATACCCTTCCAATAGACCCTTGTCCTCAAGGGTCAAGAACAGCAAAATCCTAAGGTACAAATTCAATAAGAAAATCATTAAGATTTAATTAGGGTTTAAATAGATTTAGATATGATTTATGATTTAAATAGGAGTTAGAAAGGATTTGATATTTAATTATATTATTATTATGTTAGTAGGATTTGGATAGATTAGGATTATATTGATATGATAACAATGCCTATAAATAAGAGGTAGTAGAGTACTTAATTTCTGACTTTGATTTCCAATGAGAATTACATATTTAGATTTGCTCTCTTTATCTCTCTGTTTCGTTTCTCTATTACCCCCTCTCTTTTCAATCTATAACAGTGGTATCAAAGTCAACGAATCCTCAGCCATGGCATTCCATTCATTTTGAAATGAAAATGAAGATGACCACTAGACGTGGCTTCATCAGTAGGGGAGTGTGGAAGAATTCAATGAATTCTATGGTAGCCATACCAGTCAATTGAAATCGCATGAAAAATATTTGGTACTTGAGTATTTGGCTAGGCTTATGCTAGAACTTGTAGAACAAATGTGTCTCTTCAAACCAAGAATAATACAAGAAGCTAGAAGTCTTGCAAGATTGCAAGAAATCATGCTAATGCATCAAGCAAAAAAGAAGGCATGGGCACTTCAAGATATTTATAGGTCACGAGTTTTTGGAGAAGGATCAAATGAAGATGCCTCTATAAGATTGTGAGAATCAATGCTTCAAGAATGACCTTAGCAATAATGGGGATCCCGAAAATATGACCATTGCAGTTGAAGCTGGGTCGGTCTTGCCATTAACTCAAGATATGTATCTAGTGTTGCAAGAAGGTTCTGTCATTCGAGAAAAGAGTAGGTCTTGTTTGATGACCAGTGCCCAAGAAAATTGTGATAGTGTTATCAAGAACATCCAAGAACTCCAAGTAGTTGATGGTTATGTCAAGTCAACACAAATTCCGTCAATCATGGGTCCTAAGATTCTTTTGTAGTTAGTGGTTGCAGTCTACCATCTATTCTAAGTTCTTTATTAGCACATATTCTCCAAACTCAATCACCGTTACCCTCTACTTTGCTGATGAAAATGCATATCTCCGCTTCTTCCTTGTCGCCAGTGCTCATTCTTGTTTTGACTTCATTTAGAGGCAATTTAATTAGGATGCTTTGGGGGTCTAGTTTGATATAATATTCTGACTACTTGACCCTTGAGGGAAAGGGTCTTTTAGGAGAGGGGTATTGTTACGTAATTATAATAAATAAGAAAATAATTAAGATTTAATTAGGCTTTAAATAGATTTTGATTACTTAAATAGATTTAGATATGATTTTTGATTCAAATAGGATTTGATATTTAACTATATTATTGTTATATTAGTAGGATTTGGATAGTTTAGGGTGTATATATATATATATTCATATGACAATAATGCCTATGAATAAGTGGCAGTAGAGTATCTAATTTCAGATTTTTGATTTCCAATGAGAATTACATATTCGATTTGCTCTCTTTATCTCTCTGTTTCCTTTCTTTATTTCCCTTCTCTTTCTCTCTCTTTCCCATCTAAATTCTATAACATACTATGCAACTTAGATATGGACGACGACAACAGCAATAAGTTTTATCCTACTAAATTGGGGTTGGCTACAGGAATTGTATGATATTATGTTTTACCAACAACTAAATCTCTTGATATATTTTTTACTAAGAGGTCTTGTTCAGTAATTTCTTTGAGTGTTGTTTTTCATCTTCCCTTACCTCTCTTTACTGGACTCAAAACTTGGCTCCAAACCACCTAAATCTAGTTCTCACCATTTTCTACAACTCAGATAAGTACATGTAACTGAATAATTCTGGGACAGATTAATTCAACTGAGACTCTCATGAAAGCTTTAGAAACTCATGATGTCAACAAAATATTGTTATCTCATTAGCTCATGAAATTTGTTGTAACTGTGTGATTATGGGAATTTCTGTAAATATAGAGTGCATTAAATTAAGTCATACAATGTTCCAAGGATAGTAAAGTGCTAGTATCTATAGTTTCTATGGACTTACTTTAAAGTAGAACAAGCACTCTATACTTATTAGCAGTAAACATGAAGGGGGAAAGATGTTTTACATGCTTTTAAGTCTTTCATTGCTACTGCTGCTGTTATTGGCATTGTTAGTGCTGACTTTATCAAGGCTTAGATTTTTTATTCAATCGTACCATTTTACTCTCTAGACCTTCTCAAGGGAATAAACCATTTGCTGTTTTGCAGATATATGCCTGTGAAGAATCGAACCAGCACTCAAGTGCATTAGTTTTTTCACTCGGGCAACTCTTCTCCAGCATTCCATTCCTGTTTCTCATATCGATTTCATCCAGTCTCGTCTTCTATTTCATGATAGGGCTGCAAGATGAGTTCAGCTTGTTGATGTACTTTGTGCTGAACTTTTTCATGACTCTGTTGGTGAATGAAGGACTTATGCTAGTCGTCTCTACTATATGGGAAGAAGTTTTTTGGAGTGTATTGACACTGTTGTGCATACATGTGAGCACCATTGCCTGCCGATCATTTTTGTTGTTAAATACTGCAGAACTTAAATGCTGCTCAATTAGTTTATATCTTATGGCATGAGCTATGAACTTAGGCACAGTCAATTATCAAGCATTACCTGAACTAACCTTCAACGCAAATCTATTCTGATTCAGGTGGTCATGATCCTTTCTGCTGGGTATTTTAGAATTCGAGATGCCATGCCTGGACCCGTTTGGATGTATCCAATGTCTTATATAGCCTTCCATACGTATTCAATCCAGGCAAGTAGATGTGTTATGGTTGTATCTCCCGCATGTTGCTGTTGGAAAATTTTCTTTTGAACAGGCTGGCTTGTTTATGACATCTTTACTTTTCAGATGGGGCTTTTCTTGAAACTATTAGTGCATTCATGTTTGTAGGGGCTATTGGAGAATGAGTATCTAGGCACATCTTTTGCCGTTGGGCAGGTAAGGACAATATCTGGCTTTCAAGCCCTCCAAAGTGCTTACGATATCTCCCCTGACAGTAATTCCAAGTGGAAGAATTTGCTGGTTTTGTTTCTTATGGCGGTTGTTTATCGAATTTTAAATTTTTTGATGTTATGTTTCTGTATGGGTAGAAAAATATCCATGTTCAGAAGCTTTCAGTGTAATCGAGATACCACAAATACAAGATGAATTATTGTTCCTGGGAACCTATCAAATCATTTTGTGAACTCATCTTGAAAACTGAGGTGCAAATATGAAGTTTCTTGGTCAATACAGCAATAAATATTCAGAGACAATCTTTACCTCGGAACTTGAAACTTTTCCATGAAAATTGTCCTCTTATGTGCTGTTGTATTCCTTGCTTCATCTTGGATTGCGGCCACTGAATATTTGACCTTTTTTTGGAACATCATTGCTTGGGAGGGGAAGTACTAAAGGTTGCTTTAGGCATGTTAGTTTGATTCAGTTAACTATTGCTCTGAAGTACTCAGGCTTGGTTTTGACAGCTACCAAAGTGACGATCATCTTTGCACAGACCGGGAGCCAAATGTTTACTGGGAAAACATAGTTAACGGCTTACTCTCGATTCCATTACGCTGAACACTTGAATGAAAATTTACCGGCTCTTTTATAATTAGATAATTAATTAGTGTAACCTAGATCCTCTAGGAAATAAAAGAACAAAGTGCGGATTGATTGTTGTAAAGTTTTGTTTAGCATACGGGTCTTATATTAAAAGTCTGTCTATGGCCGAAAAAGAAAAATAAAGTTCATGGGGATGATTGATGTGAAAATTTTAAGATGTGAATCAATGATGTCTTTGAAGATGGCAGCGATTCTCTTCCCTTCCCTTATTGTCCTCTTAACTTCTTTTCCCACTTTAATTATTAGGTTAGGATTTAAATGGTTTAGATCTGATTTTTTATAAAATTATTATTAAAATGTTAAATTATAAAAAAAATGGAGGAAAAACACTATTTTTTTCACTGCATTTTGTTTGAGTTTTGATATGGGTTTTTATTTTTTATTTTTGGTATTTCAAGTCCTTACATTTTTTTCCATCTATAACATTAGTTTTTGCATTTTAAAGAAATATTGATGTGACACAAACAATATTAATAATATTAATATGTTAATTAAGAACATTAATTTTGTGCTTACATATCAAAATGAGACTAACATGAAAATTTTAATGAGATTTTTTAAAAAAAAACCTGTGTGGGATTTGTGCATTTTATTAATCATTTAAAGAGTTTAGGTCAATTTTTTTTTCATTTAATGTAGATTTTTTTTTAATTTTTTGCTTATTAAAAAATTCTATGTCAGTATTAATTTGATACATGAGCATAAAATGAATTGTTAACACCATTTGAGTTATATCAACATCTTTTTAAAAATATAAGAATCAATATTGTAGACCAAAGAAATATAGGGATATAGAATATTAAAAGTAAAATATAAAAACTTAAATCAAAGTTTAAGAAAAGTACAGAGACGAAAAGTAGTGTTATCCTAAAATATAAATAATAAAATTAAAGTTTAATATGAACAATTAAAAAATATAATAAACATAAAATATTTTATAAGAAATTAAATCTAAACAATTTGAATTTTGACTTAATGATTTAAAATTGGGAAGTAGAGGTGAAGAGGATGGGAAGGAAGAGAAGAGGATCATTTCCCTTCTTGAACTCCCAAAATTGCTATGAACTGCCACACCCTAAATAAAGAATTTTAATGGAATTATGAGTATACTTTGGAGAAATTTTTTAATGAACCTAATACACTATGTCATTCATGATTTATTCAAAAAAAGCATAACATTGAAATGATATTAATTTTAAAATTAAATAATATTAATAGATATATAAAAAGTAAAAAATTAAATAAACATTTTATTATAAAAATAAAATTATTAAAAATAATGACATATAAAGTTTTATTTAATTGTATGGGTGTAATTTTATTCGACGGATTAGGGCTTCCGCGCAAGAGTTCCTCGTATATTTTGATACAACTATGAGTATCCCCTATTGATACTAATTCCCCTTGAAAGACGAAAGCTAAAAAGTCAAAAAAAATTTCAACTCCATGTACAAGAGTTGAATGCTATATTGATAAAGAAATTTAATTTGCTTCTCCCACAAAAAAGGTGTTGCATGCTGGTAAATGGACCTCTCCAATTTTCCCTCGCGACTAAACAAGATCTAAGAAAATTGCTTTCATGTGTAATCAGTGACCATTGGACGTGTTTTGCTATGAGATGCAGACTTTGGTCTCGAGATCCCTGATGAAGCATTCCATATTTCTGTTAGAAGATCCATTGGTCATCAACGCATCCTTCAATGTCTTCTTCATCTCTCTTACAGCACTCTTGAACTCTGCCCCCGATTTCTCATCCATCAAGCGGCTCACATTCTCCGACACCTCCTCCTTCCTGATCAGCCAACATCGATCGCCCAAGTTGATCCCAATCCCCCAGTCATCGACCACTAACTTCCGATTGGTGAACTGATCAGTCAACAGTGGGAAGCACAGCAGAGGAACCTCGCTCCATATGCACTCCAATATCGAATTCCACCCGCAATGAGTCAAAAACCCTCCGATAGCCAAGTGAGTCAACACCTCGATTTGACTACACCAAGGTATGATCATCGCACGGCCACGAACTGCCTCTTCAAATCCAACGGGCAGAGGATGCTGATCTTCGGAGCTCACGACATCGGGTCGGAGCACCCAGATAAAATTGACGTTGGTAAGCAAAAAAAGGCCGTTAGCAATCTCCAAGAGGTCGCGTTTGGCGATATGGACAGTGCTACCGAAAGAAATGTACAAGATAGAGGCATGAGGCTTGGAATCGAGCCATTGGCTACAGTCGGATTCGAACTAGAGGCTGGTGGGCACGGTGCTCTTAGTGAAGCCAAGTGGGAAGATAGGTCCGACGGCGTAGAACGGGATACAGGCTCGCAAAGCGTAGATGGTGTGGTGCTCCAGCTCTTGAACTGTATTGCAGAGAACAAAATCTGCACCCGTGACTTCAATGAAGGCCTTGAATATTATTTGGTGGCACACTGTGGATGTGTCCTTTTCTTGAAGATACGACATCGTGTCCTTGGGATGGATGGCTTTCACGCCCGATATGTAATCAATAAAATCTTCGCGAGTGTCTGTACATTCATGAGGTTTATAAGCAAGAATAATGAGAGAATCTAGTGCAGAATCACAAAGTTAGCATTAAGCTACATTCATGAGGTTATATCTGTTTCTCCCATTAATAAATATACGGATGATGGATGCCGGATGCTGTGAACAGTTGTGACTTATGCGGGAAGACGTGTATGGAAGAGATTAGGGGGAGAGAAGGTATGTACCCTGGCAAGCAAAATGACCATTCTTTCTGAGAAAGCTCATGTGGTAGTAGAGAGAGAAGACCAACGCGGGTTCCGTCTAGAAGGAAACATAGAGGAGGCCAAACTTCTTGGCAATTGAGGACGGCCACACGAAGAAAGTGTCGGTAATCAAGCACGTGACTGGCGGCACAGACTGCTTCACAAGCTTGGCGACGAGCTCTTCCACGTGAGCCGAGAACACATGCAACATGGATTGCATAAATTGCTCATGATGGAGGGAGCGGTCGAACTGCACCGTAAGGCCATCAGAAATGGTGGTGTAGCGTATGTCGAAGCCAGAATCTCGGAAGGAGGCGAAGATGTCATCCTTGTGGTGGGAAGAGCTTGCCCTGGAGGTGTGGTGGTGGATGGAGTAGGTGTTAACGAAGGTGATGACGAAGCCACACGATACGAGCTTGATGGCGAGATGGACGGAGGGGATTACGTGACCCAGAGTAGGGTAAGCGAAAAGAATGGCGTGAGGTGGGTGTTGTGAGTTTGGGAATGCCATGCTGTGTGATATTTTTAATTTCTTTAGCTTGCAGTGGCCACCTAGTTGGGTTTTCATTATAAGGAGTGATGGCTGCTCCGGCAGCAACTAGCAAAGCAAGTGAGGTGGATTCCTTGTGGATCTGACATTTATAGAATAATTAAATCGTGGTTGTTGCATGTGGATACATCTGGAATACCCATAAAATATGTGCTGCAGGAACTATCACTCGAATTATTAAATCATAATTTGTTTGCTGAATGATATGAAATCTACTATAAATATCATCGTACAACTATTTTATAAGCACGTGATGTTCTCCCTTTTCATGCATTATAATAATTGTGCTGTCTATATTCTCGGATGTTTATATTGTCAGTCTGTGTTTGGTAAAGTTAATTGCTGGGTTCTGTCACTTACATTTCAATCGTGAAATTATCCATTGAAATTGTCTAATTCTATGAAAGCTCTGTATTGCCACTACTTTAAAAGTTATCCTCCTTCAATAATTATAAAAAAAATTAAAAATTTCACAATGAGAAATTAAATAATTACTTTTAATCATATTTATAGACAAATAAATAGATGCATTGATTTATTGGGTCATCAGAGATCATGTGATAATTTTAATATTTTTGTCTTTGCTAGCATGCCCTTTAACTATAAAAGTCTCATAATTTTAAACATGATTTGATCTTTATCTCACATTTTTGTAACCTTATATTTTAAAAAAAATGTTTAATTGGTAGGCTTGAGATCCCTGGAAGACCACTTCTAATCAGAAGAAGAAAGTCCTCTAATGGCACCCTCCCTAAACTCACACTTGGAGTTTCCCCGCTTGTTTTGAACAGGCTAGCTCTAGATAACTGCCCGGACTGAAATCACAAAATTGCCCTTAATTGAAAATTTGTCAATTCAAATGAGCTATGTATAGAATTTTATTAAGCATAAAAACTTATATATATATATATATATAAATGAAGTTGATAAGTGTGTGTGTATGTCTTGCTATAATGTGCTTTGCCTAGAATACTGATTTGTCAACTAATATTTTTAACTAGTTATAAAACTTCATAACTGATTAAATTAACTCCTCTAATTTTAAATGATTTTTATTAAGAATAATTTTAAAATTTTACAAAACAAAACTAATTTTAATTAACTTCCTTAATTAACAAATTCTTAAAAGCACTAATTAAACCGTTCAAGCCTGGCTCGTATAATTACCAAAGGCTGCATGGTTTCTCTCCCTGACTAATTAAATAACTCCCCTAACTAAAATGGGTTTGTACACGAGTCAATGACAGTATGCCGGTTAAGCTAGTAACTATATACAACTAATACAGTGGGAAGCACAGCAGAGGAACCTCGCTCCATATGCTCTCCAATATGAAATTCCACCCGCAATGAGTCAAAAACCTTCTGATAGCTGGGTGAGTCAACATCTCAGTTTGGCAACACCAGGGTACGACCTTCCCACGGCCACGAACCGCCTCCTCAAATCCAATGGGCAGAGGATGCTGATCTTCGGAGCTCATCACGTTGGGTAGGAGCACCCAGAGAAAATTCACCTGGGCAAGCAAAAGCCATTTTGCGATCTCCACGAGGTCGAGCTTGGCAATATGGGCGTAGCTGCCGAAAGATATGTATAATACGGAGGCGCGAGGCTTGGAATGGAGCCAGTGGGTGCAATTGGACTTGTACCAGAGGCTGGTGAGCACAGTGCTCTTAGTGAATCCACGTGGGATGATGGCTCCGATGGCGTAGAACGGGGTTTGAGCTCGCAAAGAGGAGATAGTGTGGGGCTCCAGCTCTTGAACTGTGTTACGGAGCACAAATTCGACAACCTTGACGTCACTGAAGACTTTGGATGTGATTCCGTGGTACACTGTTCAAGTGTCGGTTTGTTGAAGATAAGGCAGTCAGGTCCTTGGGGTAGATGGATTTCACGCCCGGAATGTAGTCTATCACTTCTGCTCGGTTATCTGCTGATTCAACAATTAGTACATAGCTAGTTAGTTAAATATTATACATGGACCACGCACAGATAGCAGAGTTTTTTTGGTCAGACAGATAGCAGAGTTCAGCTCTGTAATATTGGTAAAACATTAGCTTCTGTTATCTTTCAGATGATACTTATATTTTTTAACGATAAATGTTTTTTCAATTGTGTCATGTACTAAATATCTCTTGAATTACGTACATATAACAATGTAAATATTTCTTGAATTACGTATGTTGATGACCTGATCTATTATATATATTACTATAGAATGCTAATATACCTCATGTGGATTGTTGCGACAAATTTGGTAGTTCTACTTAAGACACGGCCCAATTAATAAAGAGCTGCTCCAAGAAATATCCATATATACAGACGTTGTATTTTTATTTAATCAAAGTTGATTCTCAGTTAACTAAAAATTTCTTCCAGAACAAATGAAAAACATGAGTACACTCTAAGGCCTAGAAGAATGAAGGGGAAAAAATCTCGCAGATTAAAATATGAAGCGCGGTCAATGTTTTTGTTTTAACAGGCGGTTCTAGCAATATATATGGAGAAGGTATCTATGAAAAATGATAGAAATTTTACTTTCCTTTTTTTTCCGAAGGGGCACTGACAGAGTTAGAGATGTGGATCCTCTGTAACACTGTAACATTATTCATGTATAGTAATGAATTAGGTGATGCTACGGCTCTTGCATGGTTTTCCTTATCATATTTAGTCATGCCACCTTTTGAGGTTCGAAATGAGCATGATAGAAAAGAAACGTGGTCGTGTGAGGGTGTGTGTGTGTGTGTGTACACTAAAGATGCATGTGAGAGACTAGCGAGGCTGAAGTTTGGTAATTACGTGTGCGCGCGCGCGCGCGCGAGTGATACCCTGGCAAGCAAAATAACCATTGTTTCGGAGGAGATCCATGTGGTAATAAAGAGAGAGAACTAGAGTAGGCTCTGTCCAGAAAGAAACATAGGGTTGGCCGAACTTCTCGGCAACAGCCAACGGCCACATGAAGAAAGTATCGGCAATCAGACATGTCACCGGCTGCGCCGACTGGTTCACCAGCTTAGCGATGAGCACTTCCATGCGAGCCGATAACACGTGGAGCAACGATTCCATAAACTTATCGTGGTTGAGGGAGCGGTCGTGCTCCACCGAGAGGCCGTCGGACACCGTGATGTACGGTATGTCAAGCCCCTTTTGTCGTGCGGTAGTGAAGATATTGTCGGGGGATAAGGAATTAGCTTTGGAGGTGCGGCGGTGGATGACATGGGTGTTGACGAAGGTGACGGTGAAACCTGGAGAGGCAAGGTTGATGGCTAGAGGAATCGGTTTCGGGCACCGACGTGCTCATCACAAGGGAGGATCTGAGCCAATGGTCCAAATTTTTTTAATTTTATAAAAATAAAATTCATAAATTTTTTATAAATATATTCATAAACAATCTGAAATAGTTCAATTTCACGTTATAATTGTTATAAATTAATTATTTAAATATATTTTGAACAGTTTAAATTTAATATTAATTTTTTATATATATGATCTAAATTTAAAGTTTTTATTTTTATATTTATTTTATATTTATTAAAATAAAAAATTATTAAATTTTTTTTTAATATTATATCTGTCTTGTCTATAATACATTAAGATAGTCGATTTATGAAAATTATAATATTAAATTAAATCACTCAAAATTACAAATTGAATCAGTAGTATTCAAATTAATGATGAATATATCTATAAAAAAATTATAAATTTTATTTTTATAAAATTAAAATTAAAATTAAAAAAATTTGGATCATTCAAATTAAAAATTTAGATGGCCGAATAATTTGAATGGCCCAAATCCTCTCTAGTGATAAACACGTAACTGCTCAGCAAGCTACTCAGCATTGACACCGGACTCGATGGCTGGATGGACTTTGGGGATTACGGGGCCTGTCTGGTGCTCATCCCCTGGCACATTTAAATTATTATTATATTGTTTTATTTTGTATTTATGAAAGTAAAAATTTAAGAAAATATAAAATAATTTAAAATACTTCAAATTTGGATCACCAAATCTCATCACACACTGAAGTCAAATCCGGGGATTATGTGACCTCGAAGGGATCCATCATCTGTGTTGCTGAGCACCGATGCTGGGCCTTCCAGACAGATTTTTTTAATTTAAATTTAAATTTTATATTTTTAAAAATAAAAATTTATAATTTTTTTAAATATATTTATCATCAATTTAAATAGTATTAACTTAATTTAAGTGATTCAATTTAATATTATAATTTTTATAAATTAACTATTTAAATATAATATGAACAATCCAGATTCAATATTAAATTTTTTATTTTAATAAATATAAAATAAAAATAAAAAATAAAAATTTTAAATCTAAATCTTGTGAATAAAAATTTAATATTAAATTTGAACTGTTTAAAATATATGCAAATAATCAATTTATAAAAATTATAACATTAAATTAAACTATTTAAATTAGCAGTATTATTCAGATTAATGATGAATATATTTATAAAATAAGTTTATATATTTTTTTATTTTTAATAAATATAAAATTAAAATTAAAAAACTGGGTGATGAGCACCTCGAGCACCGAAGACGGACCCTGACCTTGAAGTGGGCAGGCGAAGACTAAGGCGTGAGGCCGTGTTTCTTCTAAGGCGGCCGTGGAGCTTCTCTGGAGCTATTATATTCTAGATTTCTAGCAACCAGACGGAGAGGGTGTGGGTCTTCTGGTACAGGGAGTGAGATTTCTGCTTAAGCTGCAACGCAACGCACAAACGTAAATGAGTGGTTTTATATTATATTGTCGTTCCCATGTGAATCTTTCACGTTGATCAAACCCACGCGCTTTTTTGTCTGAATGTATAAATGTAGACATTTATCACATCTACCCAAAGATAGTGATGCTCATGTCATGTGGATGACAAATTTGGAAAATATAGCACTAAAATTTACCAAGGAAGACATCACATTAGATCACACCACCAAAAAGAAAAAATAACTCCTCTCTCTAGACCTTTTTACGAGACCATATTTAAAACTTTCGTGAGATTAAGAAAATTAATTAAAAAAAAATTAGGTAAAAAACAATTTCAACCTTTCAAA